GGGGGGGGGGTGGGGGGGGGGGGGGCGGTAGACGTTGCGCGTGAGGGGGAACAATATAAAAAAAAATGAAAAGAGGAACGAGCACGGTTCTTGGATTTAGCAACCGAAACCAAACCATTTCAGCGCTGACTGGGTCGAATGCTTGGCTTTCGGTCGCTACAAAAATTCCTTCGGTTGCTTGACGTTGCGCGCGAGGGGGAATTATTAAAAAAAACAAGTGTAGATGGGAACGAGCGCGGGTCTTTGGATTTAGCAACCGAAACCAAACCATTTTAGATTAGTCAGCGCTGACTGGGTCGAATGCTTGACTTTCGGTCGCTACAAAAGTTCCTTCGGTTGTTTTAGTACATACACACCATCAGCTGCAAAGGTGGCGTATCAACTGCACGCTTCCCCCTTTCAGGAGCTACTAGGCAAAAACGTTCAACGGGCATCATCCCGCTGTACATAGATACGGCATCAACCTCTGGGTGACCTCGGCCACCAACACGGCGTGGACACACGACGGCGCCTTAAACTTGGCGCCGTACACACCAGGGGGTGCGGTGAACAAACAAACAACCCTTGCCGTACGGTCCGGGCGCTCGAAGAATCGCGAACGCTAACAGGCTGAGTAAAGCAGTAGACGCATGTTTCTAACAACAACAAAAAAACACGAAGCCCTGCTAGGTCACACGGCACTACGAATCCATTACTACCCAGTTGACGTCCCCGAGATGAAGTCGTAGTCGTTCAGTTTCAAAAAAAAAAAAAAAACTTTCCAAAAATGTTCCTCCGTCGCGCGAGAGCGAGTTTCTCTTTACCAAGTAACCCTATACCTTACTGCTCACCGGTGGCCACGCACATGAGCGCGGTCGCCTGCGACAGGACCATGGCCAGCTTCCTCTCGTCCCCCAGCCTCCCCTCCGGGTCCGCCGCGTCGATGAGCGCACCGCCGGCGGGCGTGCCGACCAACCCCGCGGCGCAGATGACGCACCCGAAGGTAGCCGCCGCGGCGCTCTCCGAGGGCAGGAACTCTAGGCTAGTCACGATCGAGGTGCAGAAGGTCGACATGCCGACAGAGACCGCCGCCGTCGCCGCCGACCCGAGAACGACGAGGCAGAAAACCGGTCGGTCCGCGACCTCGAGCACGTCTTGCAGCGCGAAGACGCTACTAGTGGTGGCGGTGGTGGTAGGTTGCGGGATTCTTCTTCTTCTTTTTCTTCCTGCTGCTGCTGTCGTTCCGATCGAGTCTTCTCCCGGAGAGCAGCACGGAGATTGTCCGCTGTTCAGGGACCCCAGGAGGCGCACCGTCGGATCGTGACCCTCCCCCCCTATAGAAGCGCCTCCTTCTCCTTCTCCTCCTCCTCCTCCTCCTCCTCCTCCGGGCGGGGAAACCACCACGAGACCCCCCCCGGAAATGCCATCGACCTCCTCGGGATAATGTCTCTGCGATCCCCCCCTCGACATCTCGGCCGTGTCTTCTTCTTCTACCCACGTTTTATCTCTTTCGCCCGCCCACCCGCCTGGTTCGTGCTCCAACAAGCCCCAGGAGGATGACGAGCCCTCGCCTTCCCCGCTGCTGTCGCCGCCGCCGTCCCCCCCCCCTGCGCCATCACAAACACCAAGAAGGCGCTTCTTTTCTCTGTCCGGGCGTCTACGAAGGTCTCCCTCGGGAGAAGGCGTCGCCACGGACGATGAAACCGCCGACGACGACCCCTCTGCCCTCGCCGGCGAACCGTAACCCTGCTCCACCTTGGGCGACTCAGCCATACCGCTGCTCTCCCCATCCTTAGGGCTGCCGCTAAGGTTTCCGGTGGTGTCCGTGGTAGGGGTTGCGGTGGAGCCGGGGGGGGCGCCGTAATCGGAGGCGTTGGAGACGGCCATGGCGCGGTCGCGGGGGACGAGGGAGCACGCCATCGCCAGCGGGGCCATGAAGAACGCCTCGAAGTAGAACGCCCAGGGCCAGCTGAGCCGAGATGGAGGTGTACCGAGCGAGGGCGGGTGGAGGTACGGGGGGGGGGGGGCGTGGCATTCGCAAGGGATTGATTGGGTGGTGTGAACGAAGGGGAACACGAACTGGACAGCAGTATTTCGGGGTCATAAGAGGGGAGACCCAGCGACACAAGCAACCAAGGGCTGTGTGCAGGATTCCAACAAAGCAATGACGGAAGCGCTTCTGAGCGAAGCCAGGACAAACAGCAACAGTCGAGCACGCCGCCGACGCTGCGATACAAGCAGCCGAGACCAACTTCACTGGATAATCAACCAATCACAATCACCCCCAGCACCACAACCAATAGCCCTTGGTTCTGTACAGGAAAGGGGTCATTTACCGGTTGTAGTCGTAAAGCCAACTCTGCTGCGAGTCGTTCGTAATTTTTTACCACCAGAGTGCCCTTGCGGCTTCAGCAGCAGCAAGGCCAACTCTGCCGCGCGAAAAATCCACCAGGTGCACGCATTCCGTGCTTACCCTAAACAAGAGTTTGCCAAGGCGCTGCCGTAGACGTATCCGATGCCGGCCCCCACGGGCTGTGCGGTGTAGAAGAGGGCGAGCCACAGTCCCCGTTCCCCAGGGGGGGCCGTGTCCGTGATAAGCGGCGGAACTACGGTGACGAAGCTCGCCTCGCCCACGCCCGACAGCAGCCTGCCATGTGGTAAGGTGAGGCGTAACAAGGAAATAATTGGGAAGGTAGAGGTGCAGCAGTGTGAGGTAAGACAGCAAGAGTTGGGAAGATAGAGGGGGAAAAGCGTAACGTAGGGCGTAGAAAATAAGAGTTGGGAAGATTGAGGGGCAGCAGCGAAACGTAAGGCGTAGCAAGCGTTGGGAAGATGGAGGGACAGTAGCGGGAGATCGGTGAGGGGAAGATCGCGTGGAGAACGTGTGGCTTGTGGCAGCAAGCCATCCTGTGAGCGTAGTTCTTTCCCCACTAGATCGAAAAAGAACGACCGACTTCGGTTAGAGAGTCTTAAGACTTTCGCAGAGCACCAAATAATGCATCGGATTGGCGGGATTTCAATGCAGGCAAGGCCCTCCGACCGTTTATCGGGTTTCCTCAATAGCGCCCGGCGCTACCTGTGGTGAAAAACTTTGCAATAAAAGAGCAAAAACGTTCTTTATATATAGCCCAATCGGAGTAATAGACGAAGTATACATGGTCACAGGCAAAATCCAACAAAAGGTGCTTACTCCGCAGTGTTTTCACTACGCATGGGTGGGCTCATCCGCAAAAAGGCGCCAGCGAACGCACCTAGTGTGTCGTGTTGTGTTTTTTTCGTCCTATCTATTATGGCGACAGCTCCCCTATTTTTCGTGGTGAGACGTGTACTACTACTTGAGTGTATGTAGAGTACTACACTCTTCAGCGTATTTTTCCGTACAACTACAGCCATCCAGGGTCACACAGGATGGGGTTAACACGTAAACAGCGGGGCTTTCTTCCTCATAGACCCAGAAAAACAAAAAACAAACTGGTCAAAAGCGTGTGCACTGCCTACCTAGCCATAAGGAGGACCGCGTAGCTCCCCAAGGGCTTCGCCACGCCGGCGAACACCGCTGCCCCGCACCACATCCCTAGGCCGGCGGCCATGAGGCTGAACGGGCTCCGTCGCCTCGCGAGACTCGGGAAGACGAAGCACGCCGCGCTGAAACCTGCACCACAATCGTCGTCAAGTCGTCGTCAAGAAAAGGGGGGACAAGGGTTAGGGTTAGGGTTAGGGTTAGGGTTAGGGTTAGGGTTAGGGTTAGGGTTAGGGTTGGTTAGGGTTAGGGTTGGTTAGGGTTAGGGTTAGGGTTGGTTGGGGTTAGGGTTAGGGTTGGTTAGGGTTAGGGTTAGGGTTAGGGCTAGGGTTGTTTTGCTGCGGAAAGCTAGGTGCGCTAAATGGTTGGACCTGTCATGCGACGATTGGAATCGAAGACTTCAAGAACAAAAAAACATTGGTGTGGTACGCAACGGGCGAGAAAAAGGTAAAAGTGTAAAAGAGCGTAGCAAGGCGTGATTCTTTCTCTGTCTGCGTCGGAGCCGACGGCGTAGCAACCGACATGGGCGACATGGCCGTGCCAAGCACCAACATCGCTACTAACGTCAGCTCTGTGACGAGTGTTTCTGCATCGCTCACTCCGCCAGAATTACCACGGAGACGACGACAAGGGGTAAAATTGGCACAGTTTAGTACTGCAGTCGGTGTTAGTACGTATGTTAGGCGCGATACCAAAGAGCGGTGCTTGGCCCTTTGACGAGAAAATAAAGTTCTAGGAAACTTCCCGTAAGTAACAGCAGTTTAAAACCCGAGGATCCATGACGGCGGGAAAATTATTGTATATCCCGACGGATAAAGCGCTTCCTTTCGAAGCTACTGGGTGCCGGTTCGACTGTGTAGCGCGTTAACGTCCTAGGTTGCTGCTGTACCGTATAGACTATGTCACGGCGCAAGAGCGGTGAGGTCTAGGTTGTAGGGCTATTGCTGCAGGGCTACGTTGCTGTGCACCGTTAGCGCTAGGTTGCTGTACGGTGAAAGGCTAGAGTGGCACTACTGGAGGTGTGCACAACAGAACCAGAACAATAACGAGATTGTTCCGGGAACCTCACTCATCGACGAATGGGCAAGCACTACTGACACCAAAGAGGCCGTGATTGGTTTTTGACAGAACAACGTCTAAGCACAGAGGTACAGCGGTACCACCTATAATAACAGGTCTTCCAAAAACGATGTTGAATATTTTCTCTGCCATGCTTGTCCTGGCGTGCCGCACCTAAGATGAAACCGCTCTGCAGGATCCCGAGAAACACGTCTGGCCGATCGGTGTGTAAGGTTTTCTGGATGAACCCGTTGAACTCCTCGCTGCCTCCGGGAATAACCTGTCAAAGTCACAGTCGCCATCATGTCGACACGCAGACACACAATTCGTTCGACACTCTGAAGAAGAAGATGAAAAAAAAACATCCTGCAAAACCAATAACATGACACGGCACATGTGGCGCGGTTAATGGTGTGTACATGCACGGGGCGTAGATACCCCCAATCGGAACCTTGACGCCGAAAAATCAGTTACCTGCAGTACCTCAGGCTGCGTGCAATGGTGCATGCTTATGTGGTGGGGGTTAGACTACGGTTTTGTCTGAAGATCTAAGCTGTAGTTACGCGTACATAGCCCCAAACATATCACGCACGGGGTTGACCAAAATTGAACCGTTCATCGTGCAACTCAATACTGTATCTCAATATCAATATATTACTTCAGGGGATCGATTTTGGCGCGGGCCCTAATCCTACAATGTACTTACCATCTGTTGATGCAGATAAACCGAATATATAGATAACATGTCTGACACTACGCATCCGAGAAAGCGCGGGGGAAGTTCAGAACGCAACCTGCTCTATCTCTGGAACAATGCCAGCCGAGCGATGAGACTTGTGTATCCGTAATATGTTGCGGTCCGATGACAAGCGTACAGTATCGTGTGGAAGAACATATCGAACTATACCTCCTTGTTAACTACACAAGCAGACTTTTGAAGCGCATGTTGTACTGTAGTAACACATGAGGATTTGGTCCACATAACGAGAGCTCTCGACACAAGAAGCGCCCGTTATTAGAGTGTGGAGGTCAGGCTACAGAAGCCAAAGCCACCGCAGTCGCTCACCCCGCGATCGAGGTAGTTGACCAGGTTCACCACTGCCAAAAGCGTGAACAGTCTTCTCCCTCGCAGAGAATCCCTCGCCTCCTGGACCCACCCTGCGCACTGCTCCATCTTCCTGCCTACAGCGGTTGTAGCTCTCTCCGTATCGCTGCTGCTAACGGCGGTGGAGGAAGGAGTCATCCCGCACTTGAAGTCAAATGACTCTTCGTGGAACTCGCTCTCCGGTACTGGTGTAGTTCGTGAATCGAGGCCATCACCACACCGCATGGAAACGGGGTAGGAGCAACTGCTGTGCTGCCGAGGAGGGCCAAGGCTTGCACTTTCCCAGCCTCTTGGGAAATGATGCTTCGCCCGCACCCAGCTAACCGCCTAATGGATGAGTATCAGACAGAGCCGGTGTTGTGCGGCGGAATTAAAATCTTGGCCGCTTTGGCTTCTGGTCGCCTGCTGTCTGCGATACCCTGCCTAGAGTCCGGAGGCGTTTCTTCAAGGAATGAATGCTAAAATCCAGCCCAGTAGAGGAGGGATGAACACCGGATCTATCCCTAGCGGTGTGCAGCCTCAGTGGGCAGCTTGAAGACAGCCTGCAGCGATGCGGTGATGCTCGTCGAAGCCCCCGCACGATGGGACGACGGGGGTAGTGAATTATTTGTCTGCGTGGCCGCTTGCCGCCCCCCCGCCCGCCGCCCATGCTGTCTGGTCGTCGCTAGCAGTAGAAATCTATCTCCCTGTAGTCTAGCCTTGCAGCGTCTCACTCGCGTCTGCTCGGCGCACCTCGCGAAAGAGAGTGAGGTGAGTCGTGGTGCTGAGGACGAAGTTTGAACGGTGGGCATACCGCAGTAAACCGTTGCGTGGACTGCCTTAGACAGCGGCTGCCGCAAGTTTTGAGAGATGCCAATTTTTGTTGTGTATGTATGCAGTGGGTGCATGTTGCTGCGGCGAGCTCCTGTAGCAGCGTGTAGGACAGGCTCAGCTCTGAGGAGATATAGAGGGAACTTTGCCTTCTTGCATCGACTCTGCACGCCTTTTGTCGCATTGCACTCCTGGTGCTACGCATTCGTGCCCGCTAGTATTAGTACCCGCGGCCGGTGTCCCCCCCAAAAGGGTTATTACGCCGCATTTCACTCATCTTCACCTTCTTGCCCTGCTCTGCTGGCTGTTTAGCAGCGGTTGTGCGGCGGTGGTGCTATGTGCTATGGCCGTCAAGCGTGACGTACCGTAGACTTCCAGCGGCTAGTGTGGATGAAACTTGCACTTTGACATCCGCGGTGGGATCATGTCCGAAATAAACCTGGTCGATGCATGTTACCTGCCTACAAGCAGTGTATATTTGTGTCACAGCAGCAGTCTTGGACCAAGAAGATCGCCGCGATTGGCTGGGTGAGACGGAGGGATCGTGTGTGGCTGCAGTAATCGTGAGGCTCCACGCTCTAGACTCCAGACCACTTGGCGGTCCGTCGGTAGCAGGCAGTTCCCTGCCACTGCCCTGACAAATTACCGTTGGCTGCTGTTACTTTCTAGATGCACACCGCAGGACATTGCTCCTTGCCTCTCCGCATGGACATATTCCGTGGTGTACTGCATACGACGAAGCACGTTATTTTGCTGTGTGCCATAGCAGCTGCTGTGTAGATGCAAACCTACGTGCGTTGATGGTTGTTGGCGACCCCCCCCCCCAGCGGCGCCGAGGCAGGAGCCACCATCCCGTCGCCATGGCCTTTCTTTTGGAGAGCCAGATGCCGCTCGTTGCGCTCGAGAGCTCGAGGCGGAAGCTGGTGCTGAGCGTCATCGAGGAGTACCACGGGCCCATCGTTTCGGTGAGTTATTGTAAAGGTTAAGGGTTTCCAAGTTTGAAGACTAAAATGTAAGTGTTCCGATTCGAAGGCCTTGCCAACACGTTCAGATTGCTGTTGTAGTTGTTGTTGTTGTTCTTGCTGTTGTTGTTTGTGTTTCGAGTGAACGGCATTGCCAACGCATCCACTGTTGTTGTTGTTGTTGTTGTTGTTGTTGTTACTGCTGCAGCTGTTGTTGTTGTTGTTGTTGGTTGCTGTTGTTGAGTTCACTCGAAACGATTGATTGCTGTTTTCGAGCCTCTATCCAACATCGCGTTTGCACCAACACTCTAGCGACGACAGGCGTGTGGACGTCGTGAGTCGTGCACAAGTGCACAACCCAGCCTGTCCTCTGGCGTGGTCGTTAGTTATCTTCGTCGAATGTACGAACTTGCTTGTGTCAGTCAGCATGCCGCAACTCCAACCATTCCATGCGAGCAATTCAAGCGATCTCTCCTCTGTTGTAGTCTGTTATATGTCCGTGCGCTATGGATGGTATTTTAGACCTGTGACGGTGCTGCATCGCAAAGAGCAAGTCTTGGTACCAACAGCCAACAGCAGCGTTGGCTCTACGTCAGGCACCAGCACACGTCGGAGGGCTTGCACGAAAATTTGAGCTCAAGCCACGAACGACGAACAGATTTTGCCCGCAGCTCCAGCTCTGTAGATTTCCAGTGAAACTGTTTGAATTTGAAATTCCGTCCATTTCGTCGGAGGCGCTTTTTCCGTGCGATTGTATACGTAGTCACATGCGTATGTACCATTCCGCTCTTCACATCGAGCCCATGGCGTACGTAGAATATCACTCCAACGCTGCTGTTGCTGCTGCTGCTGCTGATTCATTTGCTGCTGCAGACGGTGGCGGAGGTACTGATGCGAGCCGACCGCACGACGTTGGCGGAGCTGACTCGACTGGTGCTGAGAGACCAAGGGATCATGGGGGTCTCCAGGGCGGGAAAGACGATAACTAAAGTCACTGCCGCCAATGTGAGAAGCAGGCAGGCCGACCGTGCAGCAGTATACGCACCCTGCCTGTACCGTTTACCGTTTAGTTATACGCAAGAAACCCCCCCCCCTCCCCCCCCCGGCGATAGATAAAAGGAGAGGCTGAAGCGGCTATGACTGCTTGGCGTGGTGGTGGTGGTGATGCCCAACTCGTCTGTAGTCAACCGACCGCGTTTCAGGTGTTTATTTTGTTCAACGGGATGGCAGATGACACACACGTGACCGCACGCGCACGCACGCTTCTGTGCTCGAGTCTGAAGCCAACGTTCGGCTGTTCTTGTGGGCAGGTGAAGGAGTCGCTGCTGATCATGACGCAGCACAACATGGTGGCCGCCGCCATGCCGACTGAGAAGGAGATGAGAAAGGCCAGAGCCAGCAGCTCTGGCCGCTCCGGCAACATCCGCTTGCACTACACGGTGAGAATCAAACAAACAGACAAAAACAGACCAGTTGGTCGTGTCTGCGGCTGTTGCTGCTGCTGCACGTATGCTGCTGCTGCTTCTGCTGCTGCTTCCATGGCTGCACATAAGCTGCTGCTTCGAATCTGCTGCTGTTTCTGCTACACGTGCAGCTTTGCAACAAGGGGGAGTCGGTCGTATCAATGTGTGTCAAGTCCATCGTACCTCGGGTGTTCGGGTTGCAATACACTGTTGCTAGTTGTGGTGCATTGCGTTGGGCTTGTCAGTCCCCACCACTTACATTGTAGGGTTGGCCCTAGGAAAGATCCCCAGTTCCCGACGCCCATCCAGTGCTGGAATAAGCCGGCTTTTATAACCGCCTCCTGCGAGTGCTCTTGGCGAGTCTTACCCTTTTCCATCCATTATTCAACGCTCTTTGTCTCGGACAATATTGAGGGTGGCTGCGAAGAGATGTGCCGTCTTTCGAAACATTTCAGCAGAAAGTTTACTGTATTTCCCTCTCGTCGGTTCACGGGATGGAAAGTCTTTGAAAAAATGGATAAGGGTGTGTGATATATTGTGTGCGTATTCCACAAGACGTCGCGTATCTCAGGGGCGTGGTAAATGATGCTCCAAGGCACACGACAATTACCCTCGTAGTGTGTAGTGTCTATCTCCCCCCCCCCTCCTTGCTGTGCTAAAAGGCACCGGCGTTCAGTTGGTAGGGTCATCCGCATACCGATTGCCGTTGCTGCGTTCGTCGATATTTACCGCTGATACTGCTGCATGACCGCTGTCGCAACCGCCGCTGCCGTGCTTCCTCTTCTTCCGTCTGCACCATACCAGCTACTTCCGTTGGAGGTGCTCGTGAGGACGAGGGGACCACAGTTTCACTCACACGCAGCCAGGACGTTTTCGAAGGTCGCCGGTTTAGTGGTGGACTGTTTCTTGAGACACGGGAGGAGAACCCTGCCTGATGTAAGTGACCCACGGCCGGATGTACATAGTACGCCTATTTCTAACGTTCTCTGTTGCATGCGCCGGTCCTGGCAATGTATTTGGGAGGTTGTGTCGGTAGCAGGAGTTTTGTTTGTTGGGGCGGATGGAGCATGTTGTGGTTGATTTGTCCTGTCTGGGTATTATACGCTGCATTCTATGCACCACTGCTGTACATGGGGAAGGTGAGGGACAAAATACCGACAATTCGTTTGTTTCCTGCGTGACACCTGCAGGTGCATCAAACATGTTCCGAAGGCGTACATCATGTAGACTGTTTCCCGGAATACATGGGGACGATAGCGCACATACGACACCGGCTGCTGTAGAGGCACCGAGGACAGCTAAGAAGTTGACCACGCTCATGTATCATGAATGGATGTATCTGTGTGTGCTACAGCACGTGACGCGGCCAGGTCTATCCGTGCGTGTCGCCGAGGGATGAAATGAGATGATGAATCATCGTGCCTGTGTGTTTCGTGTGTTTGTTGCAACATGACAACACGCAAACGATTCACACCCCCATGGTCCGAATACTTTCAGTACTGCTGTAGCATGGCAGGCAGGTGACTGAAAACGTATCACAAGACGACTATAATACCAACTATCAACACTACACAGGTGAAGGAGGAGCTTCTGAGAAGAGAAGGCGAAGCGGCCAGGGCGCGAAAGGCTCTTGCCAACCCGGAGGATGAAGACGAGGATGACGAGGACGATCATGTCCAGGGTAAGATATGTTGTGTTGATAAATATACATCATTGCTCCAGATGTAAGAAATGTTTGTAGATAGGCATCATATTGCTGCTGCAGCGGCCTACCGCCGTAGTGTGCCGAAGGTCGTGCGTTTGTTGGTGAGCGGGTTGCGTCCTTGAGCGTGGACGGGTCGAAGTTTGTTTGTCTACAAGTGGTCTGTTGCTGTAGCCAACTGTGGTTCCGCAAGGTGTGTGGTGCTTGAGGGGCTTTTGAGTGTTTATGAGTACTGCTACTTGTTTTTTCCATGTGTTGATGGATTCCTTGTTTTTTCCATGTGTTGGTGTATTCAATTTGTTTGTGTTGTCGACTGACAACCGTTGTCCCGTGTTCAAAGCAGTCACAGTACTAGAGTTAACTTTTTCATGTTTTGGGCAACGATGCTGATCGGGGTACGCATGTTTAAAGGCAACCGTTGTTTGGGGATAGCGGTCGAGTGGCTAGATATCCACCTCGATCAAGGAACAATCTGAACAACATCTTCTTGAGCATGAGGAAGTTTTACTTCTAGAACACTCTTTTGGTGCCAGACTCCTAATATCGCTTTAGCCCGCGGCCGTGTCCTGTCTGTCCGCTCTCGTGCCATGTCCGTGTTTGTGGTACATGTATGATGATATGCTGAAAAGTCTGCTGTCTTGTCGCGAAATTACATGTGACAGAGTGCTTCTGTGCTGTACCGTGTTGTGTGGCTAGAAATATAAATATACACCCAGATACTTTTTATCTCGTTTTCTCTGTCGTGTGATTTTGTGGATCCTACCTAAGATGTTTGGTTCCTCTGTTGGCCGGTGTGTGTGATCTATCACGTGTGCACATGTGTGCGTCCGCATGTGTCCGTGTGTGCATGTCAGAGGTGACGCCTGAGAGCATCCAGAAGAGCTTTGAGGAGCTGGTAATGAAGAAATACATCGACAAGGTGCCCAAGCTCGACCTCGTCACGCCTACCGTCGAGCCGGAGAAGGCAAAGTAAGTTACCATGCCACACAAGACACAAGACACCGACTCTGTTGTTGTCGTTGTTGGTGGCGGTGGTGGTGTCGTTGTTGTTGTTATTGTTATGAACGTACAACATCGAAATCTTAATCTTCCTATTGCGCCCCGGCAAACTGCCCGTCTAGGCTGCTAACCCTCTTGGTAGAATTCGTAAATCTCGTAGATCTTGTAGATGCAAGAAGTTAACCCTCTAAGTAGCAATCATAAATCTCGTAGATCCCGTAGAAGCAAGAAGCTAACCCTTCTCGTAGACATACTGAATCTCGTAGATCCCGTAGATGCAGGAACAATGGTACCAAACATGAACAGCTTGGCGGCGTGCGGAGTGCGTTGGTGTTCGCATATGTACACTTTTCCGACGTACGTACGAGGCCTTAAAACGATTTGATTCGAGTAATTTCGGACTTGACGAGTTGATGGCCGTGCTATCGTACGCCTGAACGTTTCCCTCGCCAACCTTCCCCTCACACCCACCGAAGGAAACACCAATACGTAAATGTAGCCATACGCAGTACACACAGAAACTTACATGCATAGCCTCGTCTGCATCCAAACTTACAGAAATACGCACGTGCAGCTTGTGCGGTGAATCCACCGCTGTCGGTACTGCTGTCCTGAAGGAATTGTCATTTGCAGCCTCTTCGTGAGACCGTTGTCATAGAGGCGCGCTGTGCGATACAAGTGTATACTGTAGCATGTGTAAGTTCGTGCCGTATTTGCTTTTGTTGGCATCTCTAGAAAGTCGTCCATGACGTTCGGAGCACCAGCCGGCTGTGTGATTCACCGTCGCCGTGTAGACAGCATATTTGAGGCCATTCCGTGCTTGCTTTTGTTTTCATCTCTAGAAAGCCGTCGATGACCTTCGGAGCACCAGCCGGCAGCGGTGGCGGCGGCAGCGGCAATGGCAGCAAGAGCAAGTCGGCGTCGGCAGCCAATGGGCAGAACGGAAGGAACAAGGAGCTGGCTGAGCGGCAGCAGAAGGGGGCTGCGCAGACGTCGGCAAGGAAGCGCAGGATGCTCGGGGTATGTGTGTTGTGTATTACATTACACCGAAGGATGTGACAAAATGTCCTGTCGTCTTACAGTTGGGGCTATGTGATGGTAGGGTAAAGAGTGCCCAACGTTACACCCAGCAATACCCCCCCAACGGCACCACTCTCTTTGTTGACAACACCAGGGGGCGTGACACTGCGTAGAGTACCGTAAGGGGCTGAGGGAGAGATGGCACTCGCTCCTAGGCCGACTTTCAAAGCTCGATTGCTCCACAACCAAGATTGTGCTAACACCAGTAGTCCAATGGTGTTTCTGGAAACATCTCGTGGAGGGTTTTCCGTAGACGTATCAGGTGATTTCCGCACCCACTTGGTTGTGGAGCAGTCGAGCTTTGAAAGTCGGTGTAGAGGGGTGCCACCTCTCCGCCTCTCACGGTATACCACGGTACGGTATACGGTACGGTACAGACAATCTTGGTTGTGGAGCAATCGAGCTTTGAAAGTCGGTCTGGGGGGGGTGTCATCTCTCCCTCCGCCTCTTGTGGTAGGAGAGGCAACCGCAAGTGTGTTCGACAACAACACCAACGCCGCCGAAACGAAAGGCTGAAGGCTCGAGAGGGTAGCGTGCGGTGCTGAAACTCGGTGTGGCCTCACCGCACGCAAGACGAACGGTCTTGAAGATCTCGGAACAGTTCTGGAGCGTCAATGAAAAAAAAAAGGCCAGCGCACTGACAGGAACTTTTTTTTTGTGTCGATGACGTTGGTGTTTTTTTGAAAATCAAGACATGTTGTGAGATCTTGCCAGGCGTCCATGTCCCATGCGATCGGCAGCACTTTGATTTCAGCACCTCCAATCGTTATCACCCTAGCAGGGAGGGTGTCGAAAGTGAAGAGGGAAAGCAATGTGCGTACGCGAACCTCCGAGCCTTGAGCCTTTCGGCAGCATTGGTGATTTCGCCGAGCACGCTACACTGAAAAAGTGTAGTACCCTACATACACTAAAAATGGGGGCACTGTCGCCATAATAAATAGGACCAAAAAAAACAAAAACACACACACACGCTGCGGTTGTCTCTCTGTCTGTATGATAAGAGGATGTAGCCGACGCATAAGACATTTTTTTTTTTACTTCAATTTTCTAACGATTTGTTTTTCGCCGCCATTTCGCCTCCTTTTTTTTCGCACGAAGGTCCCCTTCTTTTTGGTAGTATAGTATAATAGTTGGCCTGTGACCTCGAAAGGCCTCCTCATCAGTTGGACAGGCACGGATATTAGCAGGTACTGGCACAGAGCAGACACCGGAACGGTTTCGAACGTGTGTGAAGACAAGAACAGCATTCACCTCGGCGTTTGGTATATACCCCCATCTACACCTTCCGAACTTGGTACCCCATCCCCTCTCATCTGTATTGTTCTTATTTTATTGCTCACCTTGCTTCCTGCCCCACTGTGACCGTAATGGCGGCGGCGGCGGCGGCGGTGCAGCAAGACTCCAACAGCAGCGGAGTGGACGGAGGTAACGGAGATGACGAGGATTCCGACGACGACGACGAGCTCCCGGTAGAGATGCGGAACCTGGTGAGCAGCATGGAGGGAGACTTCGACGGCGCGCGGGGGGGGGGGCGCTGCCG